TAATAAAGAGTCAGTGGCGATGAAGGCCACACAAAGATGGCAGCTTCGGGGGAAGACTCAGTGAGAACGTCATCGGACGGTGTGATGCCAGGGACTGTCCAGTGTGTATTCATATCACAAAGCAGAGAGGGGAGGGGGTAAGATAAAGAGAGCGGAGGGAGTGAAGGATGGAGGTTGGTCATCTTGGTAATAAAAGCAACTGTGCTCAGCCGTCATTCATCAGAGAGAGGACTTATACACATAAACACAGACACTTTCTCAGCAGCTCTCTCACTATGACACTCTTTTCTTTGACCGACATGCTCACATGCACAGACATAAACGAATCCCATCCATTCCATCCATTTCCTTTCATATCAGCTGTTCTCTCTTGTGTGTGCAGCCCTCAGGGGGTTTCTTCCTCTTAATCTATTGCAGGATCCCACATTTCTCCTCCAGAGCTGCAGCATTCAAACGCTCAGTGAGGACTCGACACCAGAAGGCTCAAACTGTTCACCGAAAAATTTCCAGCTTTACTGGTCTCTCTCTTTGTTTCTGTTTCTAGTCCTGGTGGTTAGCTTGACTGTCTGCCAGCAGGATCTATTCAACAGTAATGAACAGGTTTAATTGGCAGCAGGGATGCAGTGCTATTTGTTACTGGAGTGCATCTATGACGAGTACATTTATAATTATCTAAGGTTATATAACCACTGTTCCTACGCTGGCATGTTTGCATATATTAGTCAACTGTAACTGACCACACAATCAAATGTTAGACTGACGTAATGAATAGTTAGTAAAGAAAAACAAATTCTTTTAACTTCAGTGTCACACAGTGTGTGGGAACTTTGAGCGCTGAGTTTAACACTCACTTTTCTGCTTTGTATCTGCACACAGATGGTCACAAAAGCACCTCTTCTTTCACAGTGTGTTTGTGTAACCTCACCATCAAGGGGGTAGATTTGCATATGGATGGTGGGGACATGTCCTTACCAATACTTTGGGAAGACAGAATTATCCCTACCAATATTTGGTGAACTCGCTTGCACTATGTTTGGAGTGACGTCATTAGATCAAGACTCCAAGGACAAGACTCCACATGATTTAGGCGTGCTAGCATTTGATTGACTCAAAGAGCGGGGGGCTTTATGTAAATAAGCTGACCTTACAGACATGTGGTCAAACAGGATGACAAATGGATCAAGAGTGTAGAAACAAAAGGTGTTTTCATTTAGAGGCCTCACAGTGTAACACCTATAATCAACTTCCCAGGGGGCCGGGAGGGACCCCCAGACTGTATTGGTTAGTAAGGTAAGGGTATTGTAAGATAGTGAGGAATTTAGCAAGATAAAAGGAAGAGGGCGCTGCATGCAGACAGACAGGCGCCAAGTCCCAACTACCCAAATGTGTATTATAAGTATGGAAAATAAAGATAAGTTCAGTTCTGCTGCTTCAATTTTGATACTTTCAAAAAATTGTGTGACACAGGTAAAAAGGCGTCTTATAAATGATCACATTTTAGTTGTAAGCACTGAAAGACACACAAGACTCTCTGTTTGTAAAGCATGATTTTATTTTTGCATAAATACAGTTTGCACAGTAATAATAACCAGGGATGTGTGTTTAGTATTTTTCAGTACTTTGTTCAGTTTACCTGTTTAACACAGATATTTCTGCTTTTTGAACATTACAGTTTTATACAATCTGACAAAACTTCCCCATTTCTGCCATGTTGGATCTTTAAGAGCTCTTTCTCTTGAATTCCTGCGTCTTCCAACGCCTTAGAGAACACAGACAGATAGAGGCAAAGAATCACAAGAGCAGACAGACACCTGAAGAGGTCTACGGTTTGTTCATGAGGAACTGAACCAGCAGCTTGATGACACTGTCATTCAGACCCACCACCTCTCCGTCCTGCACTGTCTCGTACAGTCGCAGGCTCTCTGTGCCCCACAGGAGGTTCTTCCTGGGGTTGTTGGCGTCTGTCTCCACGGAGAGAGCCACTGTGTTGAGCTGGTAGCAGAAGAAGGAGAAGAAGTGGCCATCGGAGATCACAGCCTGGGACACGAAAGGCCTGGTGACATCCTCGTGGTCCCAGAAACCTACGAAAGTGAGAGGGAAGTATAACCACAAGCTGTTTCTTCTCTTTTCAGTAAAAAGGTCATTTCATTGTAAAAGACTTTGGCATGGTTAAAATATAACAGGGTTTCTGTACTTAGAATGACTCTTTCCTGTGTTGATAACTCACCCTGGTACAAGGCCTGAGCCCCCGTCCAGGCGAAGAGGCTGGCCAGTCCGTTAGCTCGGAGAAAGACCTCCACCTGGTCAGACTTCTGCTGCCGAGCCATCCGCTCTCGGTGGAATTGGTCAGGAACCAGGTGGAACTGAGTGTGACCGTAGCATGCTGGGTCTGGTAGCTTAGCGCCTGTTAATGAGAGGAGGGAGAGTGTCTTATTTCAAAAGTTAGATCAGAGGAAACGTGAAGAGCAAAACACCAAACAGTTATTTGTTTCCAGTAATTTCTCCAAGAGCACGAAAAATAACCATCTCATAGGCTATGACTGTATCCGTCTGCATGTATCTGACTGAACAGACATTGAAAGTTGCATGCTGGTGTCCCCTAGTGACAGCAAGCGGTAACTGAATAATGAGAAATTTAACTTTCTTGTCATGACATGTAACTGGCACAACACACACGTTTACCCACAGCCCTCCACCTAATGTTCTGTTGACTTATTGACATGTGTTACCTGTGAAGATGTTGTTGTCGTACTGCCTTCTGAACAGGGGCATCACATTGGGACAAAGTGTGATCTCTGGTACTTCAGCTGCATATGAAGCCTCCAGCGGGGTAAACTGACAGAAGGTAAGTGATAAGTGATTTTATAACACCTTTCAGTGCTTGTTTGTTTAAATGATTTGTGTCCTTTAATAATGACTTTCTCCAGTTTGGTAGGTTTGTCATGTATGATTACTGCATCCAAACCAAAAACAGATGAATGAAAAATATAAAACACTGTGCAACAGCCACAATCCTAAAATCCTCCTCCCATTACTTAAAATGAAAGACATATTATAATGTGTTGCTCTATTTATTTAGTACATAAAGTCCATAGTGTGAAAATTATTATACTACCTGTGGCAGTTGTTGAGTGGTCCGAATCTGACAGAGTGGGTGGTCATCAATCTGGAACCTGGTTGACTCTTGCCGGCCTCTCCGGTGTCCCTTTGGGATGATTCTCTCTCCTCTCCTCCAATAAAAATGCACCTGGGGATTAATATCTGATGAAGAAAATAAACATTATACACATTATAATATATATATATAATTCTGAATTGGGACATTCAGCATGAATATTTTGACTTTTGGTAGTTTGTGTATATCTTTGGTTGGTTTATATGGTTTATGATGAACAATTATTAATTCTGTTTTTTTTGTATTGCGTTTACTGTGATATAAAACATACATTTTATATTTGAGAGGCTTTTTCTCACGCTCGACTAATCGATCAAGACTAATCACTTCAGATCTAGTATATTCAGATGCTTTTGTACCTCAAAGTAAAATTCTCAATGCAGGACTTTTGTAACAGAGTATTTCTACACTGTGGTATTGCTACTTTTACTTCACTAAAAGATGTGAGTACTTCTTCCACTTCTGGCAATCACCCATACCTAGACTGGACAGGAGGAGCACTGGGTTGTATTTAGTCAGACTGTAGGTGAGTCCCGTTAACAGGTTTCTCAGAAAAGGCCCGACCATCATCTCCTGCTCTCGGTACAGGAAAGGTTTGCGTTTCTTCGTGTGCCAGTGCTCCTGTAAAATCACACGAGTGACCATGGAGCGGATGTCAGCGAACGCATCATCTTCAATCCCCGGCACTGCGATCTGAGCCGCCGTCGACGGAGAGCCCTTCTCCCCGGCGGCCTCCTCCGGGACCGGCGTGAATTTCTCGGGCAGGCCCGGGATGTAGGCGGTCTTGGTGAAGTGCTGATACCATCTGTCTGCGTTCCGTGCGAAAGTCTGAGGGTAAACCACGAATTTCTCCCGCTGGATACGAGTGATGAGGGAGAGCTTCTCCTCCACCGAAGAGGCACATATCTTTTTTATCTGCTCCTCAACCTGCCGCCGCCGAGCTGATTTGCTTTTAGCCGTGAGAGAGGGGACGATGGGGGGGTACACGGGCTCCTTAACTGCAGCCTCTGTGTGGACGAGCTTTTGATGTCTGAACGGAGGCAGGTTTTTAGGGAACAGCAAGGGCAGCCGTGTGCGGGCCGCCATGTTTCAGGTGTTTCTTCTTCTTCTTCTTCTTTTAGTTTGGTTGTAAACCACCTTGCAGGTGCAGTACCGCCACCTATCGAACTGGAGTATAAAACCATCATCAGCTTCTTCCGTTGCGTTGACACATGAACTAGTAGTCTCCCACAACAGCGTCCCCTGCTGTACAGAAAGTCACGATGAAATATATTCAGTAAAACAATATTTTAGGTTTCTGAAGATCTGCCCGTATGTAGGTATTCTAGTTTATTTCAGCTCAGTGCCATATTATATGATTTACTTTGATAGCTAATGCTAGCACCGTGGTTAGCATCGCCGACCGTTGACGCTCTTGAATGACCCTTCTAGCCATAAAGTGCCCCCTTCACAGACACTACAAATGTCGTAAGTTTGAGTTGTTCAAACATAATAAAGGCGATAATAATACTTTGAGAACCTATATGCGCACTGCCAGTTGTAAAATGAATTGACAATGAGCACTGAAGCCATATCTAACAACTAATAAGAAAAAGGTAACTTTTTTGGCCATTTAATTACGCTATACTTCAGTTTTGCACTTGAAACTATTCTTTACGTTTGCTCCCAACATTGTTAATTACATTACCCATATACAAATCGATTTCTGATAAGACTAGAACTTCTTACTTCTGTAACGTTGTGCGATTTTTCTGTAGCCTACTGTAAACGGAGACAAGGCGCATTCATGACTAGCCAAAAAAACGTTTCAGGTAGATACCTGAAGGCAACATCAACGTAGTGCGCGTTGGGTGCAGAGTTTTGGTTTGTGAACAAGATTTTTGTACTGTGCAGTTGTGTGTTAAAAGTATGCTAGTTAACTAGTCAACTAGCTATGTATTTTCGCCAGTTTTTGCGGATACGTTACGTCGGGACCGGAACAGCTCACCTCAACCGTTTGCACCGTGTTTGTCGAGCCGAGGTAGCTGCTCTAAAGATAATCACTCTTGTTTTTATCGTCATAAACATTTTCTTTCCTTTAGCTACATTGGAGCATTTAGACAACACCTGTCCTTCCAGCTCTGGTGGTGGCTGTGGGAAACCTGCAGCGGCCAGCCACCAAGAGGTTTGGTCTATTGTGGCCCTCGTACGTTGTTTTGATGTTATGTTTGCTTTATTTTGTGTGTCATGTGTCTCGCTGACCCACAGAGACCACTGTGCACCAAGAGTGACGAGGTGAGACTTGCAGAGGAGGCGAGCAAGAAGTACGGCTCCCCAGCTCCAACCATCTTCTCCAAAGTGATTGACAAAAGCATCCCTGCAGATATCATTTATGAAGATGAGAAGGTAAACATCACAACACGTCCCCAAAACAAGTGTCTGTAAATGGTTATCTCTGCTGGCCTATTCCACGTGGAGTCTAGAGATAACTTAGCACAGACTTGTTGATAAAGTTGTGAAATGTACAGTTGTGTGTGTGGGCACCCTAGGACAAATGATAAATTTGTTTTGTTTGCTTTTTTTCTTTTAAGTGAAAAGAAGCAGCAAACAGGTATTAAAATGAGCCCTTGTTCAAACGTTAATGCACTGTTACTTATTATTTCATGAATTTATAAAATAGAAAAAATTAAACAGTAATGGTGGCATGTACAAAAGTTTGGTCATCCTTCTACTTGTGAGATAATTAGAACTTAATTAACTCATTAGGCTGTAATTGACTTATTCTAAGGCAGGTAAAGAAGTGTCATTGGGAAATATCATCTGATGACATTTCCACATTGATAAATTGTCTAACTCTTCAAACCTTGCAGTAACACTCAACAATCATGGGCTCCTCTAAGTAACAGACTGAGGATCTGATTGACACCTACAAAACAGAGGCTATAAAAATGAAACCTGAAACACGAAACGAAAACCTCCAGATAAAACTAAACGTATGCTGGGCAGAAAGGCAAAGCACGACCCCCATGTGACTCCAAAGCACCTGCAGGAGGATTTAGCTGACACTGGTGGGGTGAGAAAGAAACAGCCACATTTGATGAAAAGTGTGAGGGTGGAAATATACTGCTTTTGGGTTGTGTGACACAGGAAATACTGCACAGATAGAGGGAAGAAGTCACCAAAGTTTTGCTTACAACTGTATATATATATATATATATATATATATTTATTTATTTATTTTTTGTGTGTGTGTTTATCAGTGTTTGGCATTCAGGGATATCAGCCCGCAGGCCCCTGTTCATTTCTTGGTCATTCCAAGGGTTCCTATTCCCAGAATAAGTGAGGCCAAGGACGATGATGCTGAGGTAAGTTGGACACACTTTTTCTGTGTCTGATGATGGTTCTGTTCAGGGGTTCTGATGGGGGGTCTGGAGCCCATGTTAGCATGCTTTGAGTGGCCCCTGGACTGGACAGGTCATCAGTGTATCACAGAGCACAGAGAGGCAACTACATTTACATACCTCTACTATATGGCCAAAAGTATATGGACACCCAAACAGTAAACCCATACGTGGTTGTTCTGCATTTTCATTTCCAACACTATGGGCAAAATTCTGCTGCTATAACAGCCTCCACTCCTCTGGAGCTGTTTTCAACACGATTACATAAACTGGCTGCAGGGATTTGCTCCGATTCAGCCACAACAGTATTAGTGAGGCCGGACGCTGATGTTGGGCCAGCTCATGCCAAGGGTGTTGGATGGGGTTGAGGTCAGGGCTCTGTGCAGGCCAATCAGGTTCTTCCACACCAAACTCAGAAGACCATCTCTTCATGGACTTTGTTTTGTACACAGGAATATTTTCATGTTCAGATAAGTATATTTCCCAAACGGTTGGCACAAGGCACCTGGAGGCACACCATAGTCTAAAATATACATATAACACAAATATATATTGTATTTACCATTAAGTGTCCCATAATTGAAATTAAGTGGCTTAGCCCAAACCCTTAAGAATATAGCCCCAGGCCAGAAGTTGGCAAATATACAGTAGGTCAACAAACTTTAGGCTGTGTAGTGATACTACACTAGTACTACACTTTTTGTTGTTTACCTAATTTGCATTTCTGTGGACTTTTGGGAGCGGTGTTAAAAATCATCAAACAAATACTGTAAACTCCACACAGCATTATTAAAATCAAACTATAATTGTTATTGTTAAGATTAAAATCTTATTTACTGTCACTGTCGCCTCAGTCTAGCTTCAGAACAGATTCACACTAAACTGAGGAATACTATAGAAAGGCGTTGCCGTAACTTGAAACAATGTGTATGTTGAACTTGTTGGACATCAACATCCAAAATCATCAATCGTTAGGACTTTAAACTGAAACCAACTGCAGCTGATGTTTTTTACTAATCTGAGGGAAAATACTGTGAATGTGTGCTGAAGTGTATTGTTTTATTAGTTGTTAACAGTCATTGACATGCAGGACCACAGTCCTGAATCTAATATTAAAGTGTAGTATCAAGGCAAGGTCATTTTATTCATGTAGCACATTTTATTAAAGGTAAATTCAACATACATTTATAAGCACACAGCAACAAGTGGTAAAGATTAAACCCAGAATTTCCAGGATATAGCTATGGTCCAACATGGGTCCTTTGCCACAGAATTTCCTCCAATGTCCATTCACACTCAAAATTTTAATTTTTGAAAAATCATAACTGCTGCACCTCCAGTTCACCCATCATCAAGTAATGGGTAACAACGAATGGTGGACACATCCAATGAAAATCATGTCTTGAGCTCTTTGTTTTCCCAACTTTCAGCTCTTGGGACATTTGTTGGTTGTCGCCAAAAATGTGGCAAAGCAACAATCTCTAGATGAAGGATACAGAGTGGGTAAGTTATATAGTTGATATTAGTAACGGGCCTACAGCCATTTATGTGAAAATACAGGCTGTTTATTTACTTCCACACTGAATTCTGGGTATGTTTCTGCCCTCCACAGTGATCAACGACGGAAAGCACGGTGCTCAGTCAGTTTACCACCTTCACGTCCACGTACTGGGAGGAAGACAAATGACTTGGCCACCAGGATAATGGTGTCATGTTCATGTTAATGTGTACTTTTATGTGTTTAATCCCATGAGCAACATATGATGGGTGTAGTTCATGCAAAAGTTTGTATTCTCCTGCACAAAAAACTCACTTCACCACACAAAATATGAAATGTAAATATGTTGATTTTAACAAATGTAAAAAAAAAAATTAAAAAAAATTGTAAAAATGAAGATATGGCTGCAAATAAAGATGCTGTTTCCAAAAATGGAAGCTGAAAACTCAACCCAGTTCTTTATAACTTCTATCCATTTATCAACTGCAGACTTATTATGGTGTATTAATGGATTATAACTGATCTATAAATGTTAGTAACTATAAATATTAGTAAATGACGTATTAACCATTAACAAATCCATTACTTGCAGTTTATAAACTTTTTATAAATGCTGTTTTAAGGCAGAAAATCTAATACTCATCACTTACAACACATTTGAAATGTTCTCAAGTGTAGAGCTAACACTGATGAACCCCCTCACTAATCATTCACCACCTGCACGGTCGGCATGTGCCCACACACTGGCAGTGAGGGTTGGAGAAGGGAAAGCTGTGGTGTGACTGGGTGGTATGATTTCAGTGACCTTGGTGCCCGTGAGTGAGGGTTACTGTGTGTCATTTGAGGGGGGGGTGAACTTTCCTCTATATTTAATTACAAAACAGTGTCTACTTTCTTGAACGTCGCTGTGAGATATACATAGATCGGTCAGGAGGAAAGAGGAAATGAGACCTGGATTAATGACATGAGAGAGTTTCATTTTTTTAATTTATTTTTTAATTTTTTTTAGATTTTAAGCTGATTCCATGAAGTGCACTGGCAAATGATCCCAAATAAAAATCATATCCACTCACTGATCTTTATGCACTTCATACCAATCACAAAAAACAGGTGTAGGTTGAGAGGAGTGCAGAGGTTCCTCCAACATGATATCAGAGAAATATTCCTAATATTTAGTGTATTTTAACTCAGATTACCAACATCTCGACTCTTCTCTCCTGATGTTACAATCTGGTTGAAAAAGCTGAAGTTGCACAAGTTTTGTTCATCTATTGAATAACTGTTTTATGGGTCAAAGTCTCATGTATCCTCATAAACCGGAGAGAACTTATCTAGTTTTATCATTATTTCCTCTGACAGGCCCTGTCATGTATATGTGATAATGACAATCTTCATTTGTCAATTTGGGATAATAAAAGCCTCAATAACATACACCTACCTGCTAAGCATTGCTTTATAGGATACTTAAATCTTTACAGTGTTAAATGTTTTGGAACGTCACCAGTGTCAACAGCTGACAGCTTCTATATTTAATATAAACAAAGCCGGTTTGCACCAGCTGCCGACTGTTTGTGTGTCAGGTTCCAGGTCTTCTTCACCTTGAGGAGCCATAACCTTTGGTCAAGTTTGTTGGTGGATCTTTAACTGGTCGACACGGCCTCAGCAGCAGGTGTTCTTGGGATTGTGCAAGTCTACATTGCTCTGGACAAGGCGTGAGTGAATGCCCTCACACAACCCCCCTATAGGCTGATATTTCCTCCAGGGAGTAACAGTCGAGTAACTGCGACGAGCAAAGGTTGATCCAGGCCTGTCCTGAACCTGACTGCTCCTGCCATTCAGCGCTGTCCCTGCACAAGGTAGGCTTTCATTTATATTTACCACTTCATGCTTTTTGATATTTAGGTGTGTAAAGACTTGGGTAGGATGTCTCTTGTTGTCATAGATTGCTTCAGGGCCTGCATGTGTTGTATGAGGATTTCCACATCAAGTTACACATACAAACTCTTTGTTTATTGACGTGTTCCAGTTCTTTCTTTTTTCTTTTTTTTTTTTACTTCAGCTGACTGAATTTCACAGTTTAATTGATGAATTTAACACTGAGTAAAATACTCCACTGTGCACACAGTGGTGGAGTCTGCCATGTTGACAGAGGCAAACTGAATTCACCAGCCCTTGGGGATGTACTTTATGGTAAATATATTTGAGACAAACACATGACTATGAGATGAATACAGTATAGCCACCATTTGATATGAGCAGGCTCCTCGACTTCTGTTGTTTAGTCAACAGAGACACAGTCTTTGATTGGCTTGAGTTAAAAGCCAAACGAACAGCTGCAAACATGACTTGTCCTTACCTGGACCTCATCGTCACATTCTGAGACTAAACATCTGTAACTACGCTGGATTTTCACTTTTTCCCATGGGACTGTAGAACTCATCTTTCTCTTCTTTTTTTGTTCACTACTTTCAATTTAATGCACGGCTTTTTTCGACATCTCCTTTCTGGGTAATGTACAAGTCCAAGCTAATAATGAGACTGAAATCTACTCTGTGTGCACTTTAATTGATAATTGCTTCATCCAGAGCAAAGACTTTGCTGGTGCCACTTCATATTGCCACACTGTAGTTTTGTAAGTCGTGTGAACTTTGGTCCACAGAAATCTTGACCAAAGTTATCTTAAAAACCAGAGGTCACACTGAGATTCTGCTGGGTTGACTGATCTCAATCTTATATGATCTTATTACAAATCTAGCTTTTATATCTGTCGGAGAATGTGTCACTAATTTGTTTTGATTGATTGATTACTTCTGACAGTTGAAGACGTATGGAGTGAATTGTTTCTACTGTTGCAGAATATACACACCAGATGGCATCACTGTCACTGTCTGCAGCACAGACACAAGAGAAAAGAGTTGAGGACAATAGCTTAACAATATTTACATGTTATTTAATGCCTTACACCCTGGTTAACCTTTGTTATCTTAAGTTAATATTAATACTAATAATAATAATAATAAACTTTATTTATGGAGCACTTTTCATACAAAAGATGTTGCTCAAAGTGCTTTACAATAAAACATGAAATAGGACAATAAAATAAGGGCGAATAGAAGGACAATGAAATTAGACAATAGAAAGACAGTACATGATAAATTATGAAAATGAAAATAAAATCAAAAACCAATAAGAATAGTCAAATAAGAGAGAATTCATTAAAAGCCAAGTTAAATAAATAGTTACCAGCTGTCGTTTAAAAATGTTCACAAAAAATGTAGTTAACCAGTGATGACAGAGATGCAGCGTATTCTGTTTCAAAGTGTGACTATTTGGATCAAAGTTGAGTATCAATAGTTCATACAGATGTCCCAATGCTGTCTGGCACAGTATTCACAGTTTCAACATTTAGACCACTGCTGTACGTGATTACTAGCATTGTCGGTCATCGGCTCTGTTGCAATGACATTAGTGAATGTCAGTCTGGTATAAATAAGCAGAGCCATGCTGTTTCATAATGGATGATCTTATCTGCATGGAGGGTCCTCAGCTGAGGACATCTGAAGTGTTTTAATGCAGATTTTACTTCACGTCCACTGAAGATAGTTTTTCTCTGTTTCCAGCAAACGCAAGATGAGCGGCCAAGAAGATTCACGTGTGAGCAACGATGTTGCGGTCATGGATGATAATACTGAGAGGTATGGAAAATAATGCATGTCCCAAAGTTGGAAACAGATCTTTAACCAGCTTCAAGGTGATTCTCATGAAGATTTGATCCACTTAGCACTATTTTGGGTTTAAATTATGAATCTAAAATTCACGTTTATGCATTATCAGTTCTCATTCATAACCTCTAAATGGCTTTCTTTCACAGCATCCCTTCCCAAAAAGCACAGACTCTGCCAGAGTCCACCAACTTAAAGACCCACTCCACTCCCATCGCTAACGGAGAAGCCACGGCAGCTGAGCTCAGTGCAACATCAGCTTCGGCGATCCAGGAGACTCATCCTTCCAGGAAGCCTGAGGCACCGACCGAAGCTCCCAAGTCTCCTGAGCTGGAGGAAGCTGTTGAAGGACTTTCACTAGGTAACAATGTTAATCAGTGTAATGTCAGGAGAGAGGAGCTAATCCGAGCCGATGAACTGCTCCAGAAGTGAAAATTTCTACTTAATATACGGTACTTAACACTTGACTGCAGAGTTGTTGCTCCACAAATACTGTGTATTTTCTTCTGACTTGTTTTCTATTGTGGAATTCTGAATAGTTTTATCTCTTCAGGCCTGTAAAAACTATTCAAATGATACAGTCTGAGAAGGCAGCATCACTCTTTAGTTCAACATGTACAAACATACAGTATGCAGCCTATAAAAGGGTTGTGAATAGACATTTTGTCACTTTAAAAAGTCAAAAAACAAAAAAAGCTACTGTATCAGCAGCTGAATGAACGATATTAAGTATATAAGTGTTTTAAATCAGCAGGGTTTTCAAGTTAAACCAAAAGGAACATGTAGACAGCAACAATAAAATGCATCACAGAAAAAAGAAAATCTAAATGCAATGATTGTTTAACACAAAGCAAGGTTTGAAAAAAATATTTGTGGGGCTGAACTGATGAATTGGTTCCATTAGGAGTGAATTAGCTGACGTTTTTTTCCACAGTCACAGTCAAGATTCATTTTAACTTCAGTCTTGATTATGATGCAGAGAAGTGCAGCTTAGGGGCTTCTTTCTCAATGTTGTTGTAAGTTTAAAGGTTATTTCAAAAGGCTTGTCACCATGCTGTCCCTTTGAAACTATCAGTAGACTGTATGAAGCTAAAGTTGCATAAAAAAAATAGAGATAATTGCATTCATTTAAAGTATTAAAGACAAAGGTGAAAAATGACATGTTTCGACTTTTAATTTTGTTCTAAGTGGCAAAAAACAACCTTGCAGGGAATTTTAGTGAACAGTTTACACTTTAACAGTTTACACTTTACTTTGTCTGTGTTCTTTCATACATTAATCCACTAATTTAACTCTGCTTTGGAAAACCCTGATACTTCTTCTAACCAAACCTGATTGGTAGGTAGGTGGAGACATTCCATAGCTTCCTGTTGAGTCTCAGGTAACAACATAGCTGCTCCCTGTTCTCTGCAGACCATGCCGCTGAGACAGCAGGTGTAACACACTCACAGGTTTCTGCAGTCCTCTCATACTCCTGGCTCTTCGCTGAAAGGGCAAACTTGCTGTGTCTTGGTGCGGTGTCATCATCTTCTGAAATACACTTGTCATTCATGGCGGGTAAATGTGGCTGCCCCTGTTGTCCCAATACAGAAGAGCCCAAGGCAGTTCCACTGTCCACGGCGAATGTGGCAACGACTCTGGCCCCAGCTGACCGGCTATGGAGCACCAGCAGAGACGAGGCAGTCAGGCTGAGGATGGAGGGTTCGGGCAAGGCCTCGGAGACTCCCATGACCATCCATCAGATGTTCCTGCAGACGGTGGACAGCTACGGGGATACTCCTGCCTTAGTTTCCAAGAAAGAGGGCCAGTGGGAGACCCTGACGTGGAGGCAATACTACGAGCAGTGCCGGGCAGCTGCTAAAAGTTTTCTCAAGGTTTGTTTGCAAATTGACTTATTCTGAATATATTATGCAAAAGTCTATAATACAGTGTGCTAGTGTGCTTCAAATACAGGAAGACAATCAGGAAGTATTTGGGCAGTTCATTTTTTTAGTTCTGTTTCCTCCACTTCTGCACATTTTTAATGAAACAGACTGTGAAAATACAGTGCTGGCTTTTAGATTTAATTTAAGAAGATTTTTAAGAAGATAATTTTAGAAAGTTGAGAAAAAATAATAATAATTAGAAGAAAAAATAACTTTTGAACTGTGTGACAGTTATATAACTTATAAAAACCTTAATTTTATGCTGTCTATGCTGATTATTAATCATTGTCACAGCAATTACATGAAACCTAAAGTAACATTTCGATGCTAATGTTGCACTTAATGTTTGGACAATCGAAAGGGAAAACACAGTATCTACAAATAAAATGTGTTCTTGTTCCTCTCTCTCATCTCTCTTGTACATTTCAACTAATGACATTGATTAACATACAATTACTAAGCCTCTAAAGCATCAAAATATAATAGGGGAAAGAGAGCACCTTTGTTTTCTAGTTCTTTTTCTCCCCAAAAATTGAAAAATTTGATGTTATAATAATTTCTATGAATAGGTGTCAGATTCTGGTCTTAATTCAACTTTCACTAAATATGCTGTTTTTGCGTTGTGCCTCTGTAGGACAGTGTAGTCCAACTTTCAGAAGCAGAGACTATACAAGACAAGTCAGTTTCAAGCAATTACTATTCAACTTTAAAAGGAACTGAGACATCAGCGAGTGATAAAAACTTCACCTCTTGCTTGCTGTTGGTTTTGTGTGCATAATCAGCAGGTCATGGTTCACCAACAGGTTATTCACAGCAAATGCATAATACGTCAGACTGAGATCAGGTTGCCCTGTTTCTATGATTAGGATAATTATCCCTTTTGCAATGTTATTCTACATGCATTGTCTTACATTTGAGGTACTGGGAATAAAAAACCTGTTCTGAGAGTTCAACCCAATATGCATGTGAACACCCACAGAAACTCATTAACACTGCATTTGAAAGTTGTTGTAGCTGTTTTCATTCAAATGCAGTGTGTTGAAGTGGAGCCAAAATCAATGAAAAATGAAAATATATAAAAGTGTTCACTATAATATGTTATTATTTTCTGCCTTTATAAATAGAGGAATTCAGGTGGCATGTGAATGAACTATGGGTTAGACAAACCCTTGAATTCCTGGCTCCTGTTTTGTAAATAGTACAGAATTTACACCCTCTCTCACTGTGATCTCCTTCGTGTGAGAATGGGCCGTTGAAAACCAACACTTGGGTGTGTGAAATTCACAGCTTGTGTTACGTCTCCTGTTTCATGGCCATGTTCACATCTCATGAGGTGGAGTGGCTTCTGAAACGAGATGTAGGTTAAAAGTAATGGAGGCACTGTGCCGCTGTGTCATTAAAGATACATGTTCTTAAAAAAAACAACAACAAAAAAAACACTTGTCTTTTTTTTAGTTGGGGCTGGAGCGTTACCATGGTGTGGGGATTTTAGGATTCAACTCCCCTGAGTGGTTCATCTCAGACATCGGCTGCATCTTGGCTGGGTAAGATCATATTTAAGGAACTGAGGGGCAGATAAGACTTCTTGTCTTTCTGACTTCAGATTCCACTTTTGTGCTTGAGATGCTTTCAGTATTGTTTCACCTGACAATGCGCATTTATCTCTGTGCATGCTTATCTCAAAGTCTGTCTCCGTGTCTCTGCCCTCCCCTCCCCTCACCTCTCATGTCAAAAAGTTGAGATTTTTTGGTTTTCAGATGCTAATTTGCTTCTATGATAATTTCTTTTGTATGATTGTGTTATAATTTCTTTAATTTCGACTTTGTGGCATACCCTGTGTAATCTGTTTGTAACTCAGCGTTAATAATGCCTACTTTGGCCTGAACAACAATGAACTGCGTAGCTGCAGGTCCTGAAAAGTCACTTCATTCATTCATTCAAAAAAAAAAGGCATCACAAGGTTTTAAAAAAGTCTTGAATTTCATTTACCAAAGTAGCACTAAAATGTTTCTGTATGTGATTTCAGGCAGGCAGGACACTTTATATACTGAGAAACTGAAACTGAACCGATTGTGCTACATGAAGCTGTTCAATCCCTGAACATGATAAATTAATCATTTTTAATTTTGTTAGTCCATGCATTAATTTTGCACCGCTTATCTGAGTCTGATTAAATTACATCAGTTGGAATTATTCTTGTATACTGCTAGAATTTATTGAAAAAATTAGATATAATAAATAATTCTAGGCTATATCATCCATGCTGGTTCTCCATCATACTTTCATTTCACTCTGGCCTGTTTGACTGTGAAACAGGTAATAAAATGGATTCTATGTGTCTTTAAAAGTCTTCAATTTAACTCGGTGAACCCTGCAGACACCCTGTTGAGGAAGAGGCGTTTGTAATTTGCACCAATTTGTAAAAAAGACAGCAAATGTGTGGATTCACCTGAGCTTTTTATTCTGATTTGTGCCATAGGGGTCTGGCAACCGGCATTTACACGACCAACTCACCCGAGGCTTGTCAGTATGTGGCTGCCAACTGCGAGGCCAACATCCTGGTTGTGGAGAACCAGAAACAGCTTGACAAAATCCTGCAAGTGAGTAGCATTATTATTATTACAGCACCGGCCCTCAGTGTCCCTGTAGTAACTATGTGCAAAGAGGAAAAAAATCTGCCCTCACATGCCCTTGTTTTATTTGTCTTTCCCAACAGGTTAAAGATCAGCTACCTCATCTGAAAGCCATTGTCCAGTATAAAGGCGAGCTGCAGCAGAAAGCACCATTCTTGTATACAGTACGTTTACTCAGCAAATAGATGAGTCACATACAAAACATCTGACGTATTGCACCATTGATTTTTAGGGCAAAATTATTATCTCTCTTACTTGTGGTACAGGAATTGCAATTAGATAAATGTGACTGAGCCACACAGATGCATTGTTGTTAAGTTCAGTCTGGGAGTGGAAACATTTTCTTGAACATTATGTTTGTATTTCTGTAGTGGGCAGAGTTCATGAAGCTGGGAGAGGACGTGCCCAACGAGCAGCTGGATGCCATGATCAACAGTCTCCGGGCCAACGAGTGCTGTACTCTCATCTATACCTCTGGAACCACTGGAAACCCTAAAGGAGTCATGCTGAGCCATGACAATGTGAGTTATCTAGACAAGAGAATTTCCTCTTGTAGCTTTTATTGTTTTGACACGACTTAACTGCTTTTTAAATGTTTTCATCAACGACTAATCTGCTGTATATTTTTCTGAAGATTTTGGTAAATTCTACAACACCAATAAATCATTTTGTTTATTCAAAAGTCAAGAAACTGTCCCAGAGCGCAAGATGGCGTCTTCAAATTCCTTGTTTTGTTTGACCTAAAGTCCAAATTAATTATTAAAATAGTTGCCTATTATTTTCCTGTTGATCAATTAAACAACTAATAATTTCAAGACTTTTCTTTTACTTTTCCTTAACCTTTATTTAGACTTGCTGGAGGATGTAAAGACACCTCAAACAGCTAAGCCACACTACTGATGTCTCAACTAGAAAAACTCTTGCAGTTTTATGAGATCTGACGACCTTCTCTGCCCTTTTTTTCCAAATGTCTTGTTGCTATTATTTTATGCATGTGTGTGACAGAGGCTGAGAGTGATGTTGGTGTGTGTGAGTCTGTATGAGCAGATTTGTATCATGAAATTTCAAGAAAAACATTTGAATAAAAAAAAAAACTTCTCTGATGACTCCTCTTCCACTTTTCAATGTGCAGCTGACATGGACAGCACATACGGCAGCTAGCTTGGTGGATTATACCTTCGCTTCGGAGGCGGTGATCAGTTACTTACCGCTCAGCCACGTGGCAGCCCAGATGTTTGACATGTGGATTGCTATGACTTTTGCTGCCACCATCTACTTTGCAGAGCCAGACGCCCTCAAGGTAAGGATGCCTGCAGTTGCACAAACATGGGATGATAATGAAGGTTTCCCATCTTGACTATGATCCTCATTTTCACCAGGGTTCCTTAGCAACAACAATGAGAGAGGTACGCCCGACTTATTTCCTGGGGGTCCCTCGAGTGTGGGAGAAGATACAGGAGAAGATGAGAGCGATTGGTGCCAAGGCATCCCCAATGAGGAAGAGGGTGGCCGACTGGGCCAAGTCCATAGGCCTGCAGTACAACTACAGTGCCATGAACGGGTGAGACAGCAGCAGGGATCCTTTGCAAGAACTCAGGAAGAACATGTCAGCTGTCGATCTGTAGACAACGCCCATTTTTATCCAGTGGTGATATATACCACTAGACATTTTCTCTGTTAACACACTTTACCACAGACAGATGTTACCTAAATATTAGAGACTGTTTAACTCATTTATATATGTATTCATTTGAAGTAAATACTCCAAAACAATATGCATAATTGATCAGGATGAACAATAATGAACAAGACATCTACATCCATGCTAACAAATCTGCTAATGCTACTGCTAATGCTAATGCTAATGTCAGCATGCTAACATGCTCACTATGAGAATGCTAATATGTTGATGTTATGCTGCAATGTTGGCAGAAAGAGGACAACAGGTAAAACACCTCCAGCTTGGGAGTGGATCACCAAAGTGATTTTTCATCCTGAGGGAATCATCAATGTTTTTACCAAAGTTTCATGCCAGTCCATTCAGTAATGGTCCTTTGACTAAAAACAACAAACGTAATCACTTTAAACGTCCGTACATTTAATCATCTGAGGGACATGAATGTCTGCACACAATTTCATGCCAATCCATCCAATAGTTGTTGAGATATTTTAGTCGGGACCAAAGTGTTGGGCCAGCACACAGACTGTTTTTAGAGCCATTCTGCCAGCATGGCTAAAAATCTGTGATTTTTCATTTTGAGCTCAGTTCTTCATTGCTAACAAATCTTCTCCTCAGTTTTGGCCCTGGTGTAACTTTTATTTCATCTTTTGTGTTACAGAGAGAATCTGGTGCCGTGGGGTTTCATGCTGGCTAACAATCTGGTCTTCAAGAAGGTGCGTGCTGCGCTGGGCTTAGACCGCTGCAAGATCTGCTTCACAGGCGCCGCCCCCATCACCAAAGAAACTCTGGACTACTTCATGAGCCTGAACATGCCGCTGATGGAGCTATACGGCATGAGCGAAAGCTCCGGCCCACACACCGTCTCGGTTAACAGCAGCTACCAGATGTCAAGGTCAGCAACAAAGCACTATCGAACATGGCAACTATAGTTACTGTGTGATGATTGAACATTTGTCTGCCTACAAGGACGGACGTATCAAAGCGTCTAAACAGCTTTAAATGACAAGAGAAAACTGACTTGTTCAAAAAGCTTTACATAACCTGGTGCTCTTTTCACTTTACGCTCCAACAAGAACTCTCAGTATTTTTGAAAACAAATTAGATGATGTAATCTCATTTATATGCACTAAACATCAAAGAAGAGGTACCGTTGTAGTGCAGCTTTCAGTCAGCATCTGTTCACATCAGATCTAAATGAGCATGTTGTTGACTTGTGATTTGTCTCTCCAGCTGTGGGAAGGTGATGCCAGGCTGCAAGACAAAGCTGGAGAACCCAGACAAGGAAGGGAACGGAGAGATCTGTTTCTGGGGTCGGAACGTCTTCATGGGCTACCTGAACATGCCTGACAAAACAACAGAGGCTCTTGACCAGGACGGCTGGCTGCACTCTGGAGACCTGGGAAGAAACGACCAGCAGGAGTTCCTGTACATCACAGGAAGGATCAAGGGTAAGCTGTGGTTAAAGAAAGCTTCTGTACGTGTTCTTAGTTTAGGACACATTTTAGGGCAATTTTGGATCAAACATGGATTTTTACAGGTTCACTTACCTTTGTCAGCCTCTCAGAGTTTGGTCTAAAGAATGATGTGAGCAGCTGTCACATACCAATAGTATTTACTGGCACTAACAGTCAGTGGGGGAAAGTAGTACATTCATTCTGCATTATTTATATATTTATGATATTTATTAGAGGGACTTGTACTTTACTTTAGGATTTCTATTCACCACATTTCAGAAGGACATATTGTACTTTTTACTCATCTACATTTATTATTTATTTCATTTATTATTTATGATTTGACAGCTGGAGTTACTTGAAATACATAAAAAATTATACATAGTATAAGCTTATGAAATACAGCGTTACTAATAGTGGATTTTTGAGGCCACTACTGATTTCGATGTTTGGGAGTTTAAAAAATCAGATTATGATATCGCCGCCAGTAGTAAATCTTTGAACATAGTCACATAACAATCTTGATATAGATCCATTAGATTTGTTGCTATTGTGATCAAGATACGTATTTATCAACAAACTACGTAATGGTGACACTGTTTCTAAATGACCTAGTTCAACATTTCTGTACTGCAATTTCTCATTACCTATCAGCTGACATATACACGATACCTACCTGTATTATGAAATACTACAACACGCAGTGAAAGGTTAAACTAAAAGTGTTTGGGCTTGGGACCCCTTAAAGCCTTCTCTGATGTCATTGCCGTGTCATTAAAATTTTGCTTCAATACCAAAAATCCAATCCGATCCAATCTGTCACAAAAAGCAAAGATTAAAGAAAAGTATGAAAAATTAATAGAAATTTTTTCTCCTTCCCTCTACCATTCGTCAACTCACGACCCCTCACGTTTATCTTGTGACCCTTTAGAGGGGCTGGACACCTAGGTTCAAAGCCTCAGACCTCCACCACCTAACTGTATATAAGGTAGTGAAAACTGTCTTTGACCTCGACCAGCTACAACAATTAGATGCTGCTAAAACAGTATTCACAATTTGAAAATGGCAGATATAATAATATATCAGTCACAGGAGCCATTTTTCTGCAGGAGGAGTTTTTAAAGTAGTAAAGGATCTGAGTTCTTCTTCCACCACTGCTGAGAGTTGACCTTCTCTCACACTTCACCGTCACACTTCACAGGAGCTGTTATAAACATGTCATGCTTGTTCAACTGGTTCAGTTTTCCTCGTTGTGGGAGACATTGTTGTGGAAACACACTACAAAGGTTTTCACATACTTGAATACTTGAAGAATGTGTTTAATGGTTTTGAAGTTGACACTCACTGAGCTTTTCTTTGTCCTTAATGTAACTGCTAATGATCCGAGGAACATGGCAGTGAGAAACATTTAGGGCTGCAATCAATGTCTGTTTTCATTATATAATAATCTGCGTTTTATCTTTGCAGTTGATGGATTAATCTTTTTTGTTTGTGTTGTTGGACCAACGCTCCAAAGCTAAAGATATTTAATGCTGCGTTCACATCATATGAGATGGACAGTAGAACTGGGAAAGATTGTTCATGTCATCGGATGAGACACTAAACTGTACGATTGCAGAGTTGGTCATGTGAGGGTTAGGATTTTTGCTTGATATATGATTGTAACAAAAAAACAACTAATCAGTTAATTTTTCTATAAATTATTCAGCTGATCATTTCAGCACTTTAAGCATCATCATCTCACTTCTACAATTAGAAAATGGCACATGATGAAAAAGTTATATAATCAAATTCTAAAATATAAACTTTTATAGAATGTGTGATGACAAATCAAATACTATGCACTCTGGTCTTAAGTTTTAACTTAACTTTTTTTTTTCATCTTTTTAGATTAATTTGTAGTGAAGTGTAGTTTGCTTTAGGAGTTAGGAGTGGTCACTAACTTTTTCTACTGCTACTTGTTCTTACAAAAACAAAAATTGTATATAAAATACAAGAAAACAACACAATGCAGTGTTGTCTTGTCAAAACACTGGCGAACAGGTGACACACTTTTGAACTTATCTTTTTTGCACAGAGCTGATCATTACCGCCGGTGGAGAGAACATCCCTCCTGTGCCCATCGAGGATGCACTGAAGGCCGAGGTGCCAATCATCAGCAACTCCATGCTGCTCGGAGACAAGCTCAAGTTCCTCTCCATGCTACTGACCCTCAAAGTAACCAAGCTTCCATTTCTGCAAAACACAGCCACTAAATAAATAAAACAAACACAATAATGACCCTTCTCTCTGTGTCCACAGTGCGTCGTCGACGACAACGGTGACCCCACGGATGAGCTGAGCCCTGAGGCTTTGGACTTCTGCCAGCAGCACGGCGTCACAGCCACCAAGGTGTCAGAGATTATAGCCAATAAGGAGCCAGCTATTTACAACGCCATTCAGGAGGGCGTTGAGCGTGTCAACGCCAAAGCAACATCCAACGCCCAGAAGGTGCAGAAGTGGGTCGTAGTGGAGCGAGACTTCTCTGTCGGTGGAGGAGAACTGGGTGAGTGAATGGAGTTTTGTTTTTCTTCCTGTCTTGACTATTTGCCCGCACCATGGGGATGTAATGAGCGCAGGGAAAAGAGAAAACAAAGGTTTAGCATTTTCTTTAGGTTTCTTCATCGATCGCAAGCCAACAAAAAAACAAAGAAATCATGGCTCCTGCTGCCTCTCTTGACAAATAAATGCTGGTTCTATACCTGCTTACCTATATAAAACTTAGGGTGCCTGCAGTGCTGCACACCTGTTTCAAAACAGCAAATAGACTGAATTAAGAACTACAAATAATGCTAACTAAAGAAATAATTAATAAAGAAAAATGTTAAATAAATCTAGTCCAACTTAAGCAGAGAAATCAGATACTCAAGATAAATAAATAACAAACAAAAAAAACTGATAAATGTCTCAGAAACTCTCTGTTATGACTCTTCCTTTTGCTTTTAAAACTGAAGCAAATGCCAACATACAATAATATTATTAAGGAAAGAGGAACTATTCACCAATGCTTTAAATTTTTAACTTCAGTGTAAAACCTCATCAGCCTTTATTCAAGGCCAGGTGGAAATCAGGTGACAACTTGTGACTGTGTGGCATGCCAGACAACATTCCTGTCGAGTTTGTTCGATAGTAATTGAATCTTTCTCTGACAACATTTATAAAGCAGCAGCAGATCAAATGTTTGCCATTGTGTCACTCACGCAGATCGAATTAACCTGCTTGTCTTTTTTGCCTGTGCAGGACCCACCATGAAACTGAGGAGGCCCATTGTTGTGAAGATGTACCAGGAGAAAATAAACGAAATGTATGGAGTGGCCACAGACAAACAGTAGACTGTAATGCACAGAGATCAGATAATACTGAAGAGAGACAGTCACGAGAAACATGTGGCATGTTTATGAACATTGTGTTGTGCCCAGACGTATGAACCTCTTTTTACCTGAATGTTAAAAGTGCACAAGAGGTTTATAATTTAAGGGGGGAAAGTCTTGATTCTGATTGTGTTGTATTTAATGAAATAGAGGGTTGTGCTGCTACGTTTTAATATGTCGAGTTTTCCAGAAGCTGTCTTGTCTGTTTCTGTTCCAAATTGATATTTAAGCTGTTTAATGTATATACAGTTTCACTGCAACTGTGCACTTTTTGTAAATAAAACATCCAAATCAGAGCCAAATCTCGCCATTTACTGTATGGAATATACACACTGTGACTCAGCACCAAGGCGACGTGCACGACGGGGAACACTGGATGGTGTCAGTCATCATTTAGGGAAGTAAACTTTTACACTTGTACCGTTTTTAAAGGACATTCTGTGAACCATAACCTACTGTGGCCTGAAACATGAAATCCTCTTGTGTGATCATGAGCATATGTATTTTATTTTTGAAGCAGCAGTATCTATGTTAATGTTTTACAGCATTAATTGCCAGTTTTCAGTCTCATATTTTGTACATAAAATAATCCCCATCTGGCAAACTGCAGATATTGCCTCTATAGATTGGAGGTGATGCTTGAATAAGTGTTTTTTTTTTTAATATGATAAGAATATTATTAGTCTGAATTTCAATAATCACTAATCAAGCATGTGCAAAGCATACATTTGAATTTGTGCTTCTGCAGTTTGACAAATATTGAAATGTTTATTTTGTGATAGATGTTCCATGATTGTCAATAAAAAGTGAGTGATTTGGACAAATTGACCAAATGAGGTTCATGAGTGCGTTTTAACTTTTTTTTTTTAAACTTTTTTATTTTTTATGTACAGTGTATATAGGAGGGCTTGACCTGCTGCTATGCCACATTTTCGTTTCAAAATATGATCCAGCATGGTGCAAAATAGAGGACAGACTGCAAATGGTCACATTTGAGAAGCTGGAATCAGCAAATGTTTGGCATTTTTGCTCGATTAAACAGTATGAGATCAAATGTTTGACTAATTATTTCAGCTTTTCAAAAATGACTCACTTATTCTGAAAAGGATATAACAATACATATGACTGAAAATACTACTGTTGGGGTGCAGCCATTCACGATCAACTAAGGAATTCAATTGTAATTTAGATTTTAAAAATCGTAGCATTTCAACTAGTTTGTCTACTTCATATCAAGTCACATTTTCAGGTGGTACAAGAACAAATATCTAATGATATTCGCATCAGCCTGAGCTGTAGCCTACTTTGTTTTTAGTGAAACCAAAGATGGTTGAACATGGTATATGCATGCTGACGTTAGCATTTAGCACAAAACACTGTTCCTAAATAAACAAAGTCTTGTTTCTGGATCTATGGCGTAGGTTTGTTTATTTAATGCCGTACTATACTATGAAGTTTTTATGCTTTATTATACAACAGTTAGTTCCGACCAAGTGATTTGATTGGAGGAGAGGCATTCCATTGAGTGTTGATATAGAGTAAAACAACACTGGGACTTTTCACTGCATGTATCACGCCGCTTCACAGGTGTTCTATTAATCGTTAATCAGCGTTACATCAACGGTCGTGATCTACCTTAGATTGCAACAAACTTCGCAAAGCTGAATATATTCCCAGAAATAACATTTGAATTAAATTATGTATGGTCGTCAGAAGAGCACGAAGGGAAGAAGCCTGGATACTTCAGCGCACACCTGAGGTAACGTGTAGACAAAGTAGCTAGCTAGTGTGCACTGTGCAGGTCAGGAAAACGTTTATGTTTTGCTAGCAACAGTCCAGTACCATTCCAGTTGCGGAACTATTTGTGTTGGCGTAGCCAAATAAATGGTGATATAGACAAAGAAATCATAATCTGTTGTTGCCTATTTAACTAATGTGGCGCTTGTAGAACTGTTGTATAAAAGCAATCGAGTGTGACGGCTGTGATTCGGTCATAGGTACGAGGCAGCAATGCCGATTACCGAAGACAATCACAGCCGTGCTGATATTCAGGACAACATCACGACCTCGATTGTGATATTGTTTAAATATACTATGATTTATTTATGGGGCGGCATGGTCGTGTTGTGCTTAGAACTGTCGCCTCGCAGTGAGAAGGTTCTGGGTTTGAACCCCGGGCCTGAGGCCTTTCTGTGTGGAGTTTGACTGTTCTTCCGGTGCCTGTGTGGGTTCTCTCTGAGTCCTCCGGCTTCCTCCCACAGTATAAAGACATGGTAACTAGGTTAATTGGTGACTCTAATGCCTTACTATACATGACTTTTTATGCCCTAGTATACTATGACTTATGACATATCTGACATATATGTCCCTATATCAAGAATGATGTTACCATATGTGTCACCTATAATAGGATATATTATAATGGCATACATCCTCCGGATATATGAAGATATAAGTTTATAAAATACATGAAATACTCATAGTAAAATGCAACTCTTTTAAAACAACATGCTTGTCAAAATTTTATCTTTATGTATATGATTTTCATAATAATTTCTTATTGAATTTAAATAACATGTCTATCTTTATATTTACATATATAATGTTAACATATACTGACAGGCTTTGGGATGGATATATATTTATGTAACATATGTCAATAATATAAACAGACATACTAAAATACATATTTCTATTAGCTAGACATATTTGTCAGTATATGATATTGGTCCAAATTGTTTTCATGTCATTTTTACATATATAGGCTATACTTTAAATACATATGAATTTACTTCTTATGTACATATATTTCATATATGGAAATTCAACACATGTACATTTATTACATTACATTTGCGTGTGGGTATTCCTAATGATAATTTAGACTTTATGTTCATAAACCGTTTGGTTGACGGCATTAAAAATCTCTTTGTTTTGGAGGGGTGGCAGGGTTGTTGTGTTCCTACCAATGACCAAACCTACGCCCTTGTTCTGAATAAATGACTTTGTATTTATTTTCCATCATTCAGTCATTCAGATAAATGGATTAGCATTTCAAAGATTAGCATGTCATATATTTTGAAAAGAATAATGAATTATTGAATCAAAATTTTAGCACAGATCACTATCTCACTTACTCTGTAAAGGATGTCACAAAAAAGTCATTAAGTGCTGACACATACGTGACTTTGAAAATAGTACAGCTCTTGCTCCACATCTGTCAAAACAGGCATTAGCTCTGAACCAGTTTATGAACCATTTTTTACATTATTTTGGGGATTTTTAGGGAGTTAGAGGTGGTAACTCCATGGTGGATATTTTTCACTTCTTGTTTTCCAAGAAGCCAAACTTGGCATACAAAGAACCATGTAATCTATTGTCAAAAACTACAATAATTTCTAAATCAAACACTGACAATCAGCTGAAAAATTTGAACTTTTCATGAAGCTGCAAAACTCTTTTGTCTCGCACAAACCTATTCTTTTAGAAAAACCAGTTGGAAGTAAAAAAAAATCCCTCAGGCTGCAGTTTAACCCTTTAATTATTTACAACCTCACTAGTCAAAACATCCAGCTAGCTAAGGCCAAAGGGTCAATTTAGAAAATGGATAGCTGGTGCTCTGTGTGTGTGTGTGTGTGTGTGTGTGTGTGTGTGTGTGTGTGTGTGTGTGTGTGTGTGTGTGTGAGACAAAGCCAGAAGCAACAACTAAAAGTAAACATGGAGAAAACTACATTGAAGGGCAATGTCTTATTCACAGACACCTCTTTCCCATTATTAATTATAATATATTATAAAAAACTTGGCTTCATCACAGCACAGTTCATCACTACTCATTTGTGTGGAAAACATACTGTATCTGTATCTGTCGTTTAGTTTTGTCATCACATCTTGTTTAAAAGAACAAATTCACAGACGTATCGGATTGCATTCTTGGACAACTGGTTGAGTTGCTTCTCCTGTCAGGTCAGTTCTTTAGGTAAAGTCAAGATGACATTTCAGGTAAAACTGTCTCAGGTTAGCCATAGTTTGTGAGAATGTATCAACATCTTATCCTCTAGCATTGTTTGACTATTTAAACTGTTTGTACAGGGTTGGGCTGATGGCCACACATTCCCTACAGGCGCTCTGACATCTGACAAAGTGTACTGATAAAGATAATATGAGGTTAAATGCATCTGGTACATCTATACGCTCACCACTGAGTTCCTGAACACAGGGAAACAGATCTTTACCTCCGTACTGGCTGGAAATAATAACCTTTAACCCATTTTCTGTGGGTCAACTCAGGACCTTCAAAGACATGAAAATCTTCCACTGTGTCTCTAGCGGACACAAACACTGAGGAAGCAACCCAGTCATATGACCTCTCCCGCTCTGTTTTCGTTAAAAGTCACTTCCTCGGTTGTCTCTTCTCATGATCCAGAGGCCAAGTGTCTCATCAGCAGGGCCAAGTCTTTCCAGAATTGTTTCCATATTGAAGAAATATCATGCAACTCCTGTGAGAATGTTGTCTGAGTTGAAGCTGCAAATGTTGAACTGGTATTGTTTTGTTTTTGTTTTTTTGACAAAAACAACATGACAATCAATTTTCAATAATAAAATACGTGATAAGGCAACTCTTAAAAGTTTCAAGACTATTTCTAAATTTATTGTACATGACAATAATTACAGTGCATGCATAAATAATGGTTTGGTAATAGCAATAAAGGTTTTCTTAATCGACAGTTAAAACATCTTCATCTGGTTTGATTTGAAGAGCAACACAAGATCTGGATCAGTCTGGACCATGACAATACACTGCTGTCTGCTCTTGAAATAATAGTCTCCATTTAGCAGCAGGAGACGACGTCTTCTTAACCTTTAAACTAAAATGCAGTATTTCATCATTTTAATGTGTTCTCTCTGAACGCCTGGCTCTCTCACACCCTTCTGATGGATGGATTTTCCAAAAAAATGTTATTGTACAGGTTTTAATTCATCTGCTGTATATATCACCACAGCTGTGTTTTCTTCCCCTGCCCCCAGGAACCAGTCAGCATTTTAGTGGTGCCAGATTCATGCAACAAAATTACATTGTAAATCACAAAATTAATTTACACTTTTTCTTGCTCCATGACAAGCAAAATTCCCTGCAAATCAAAAGGTTTCTGAAAAAGTTTTTTTTATTCCTGCTTTTAAAAAACTGGTGGAAACATAATATAATATCAGTCTGTAGAGGGGTAATGGACTTGAGTCTTGACCACTTTAATTAATTTCTATTAATGCATGAAGCTCACTCTCACATCACCTCCTCACCTCAGTCAACAATTAACAAATACAAGGACAATATATCTCTATTTTCTCTCAACTGTTCATGTATTTGTTATCATGTTGCACTCCTAACCACACCCTGATCACTGGAATCAAATCCAGCCAGATGTTTTATCTTTGACAGATGATACCACACACACCGGATTTTACACCACTGCACAATTGTAAATTTAAACTCATCAGTGCAGCAAACGTCTAGTGTGTGTGATTAAGTGTCCATTTGCTATTGAAAGACTGAAGAGTTCTGCAATGTTGAAATCTGGTATAAAAAAAATATATATATCATAGGCAATAATTGGTATTTAAGATCTTATTCTGTGGATAAATCAGTCAAATCAATTATTTAACTTTGGCTCAATAATTTTCCAGGCTTTCTAAAAACTTCCAAAACCCTAAATAGACTGACTTGTTTTGTAAGTTCCCATATACAATGCAGAAAAGTTCTCATTTTGTACCTCCAGCACAAATGATCCTTCATCAGTTTCATAATTTATAGTAGTTTATTTCAAGGAACTGATACAGCACAGTTTTTTAATATAAAGTACTCCTGTGAATACACGGTGCAACATTTTCTCTGAAAGTCTGAATTCTTTCTGAGACATCTTTCTTGAGGTAAATTCAGTTGCCTTTCACTTCCTGCTGCTAGATATGACACCACACTGACCTCATGTGGCTGTAATCATGTCATACAACTACATCTTAGTTAAACAAGAGTAAATAAAAAGACACATAAGGCATTTATACCATCTTATCCATTAGTAGACTGTCAAGGTCAGGAAGGCAGGAAGTAGACATTTCACACACATTTTGTTAAGGGCCAGTTTGCTCCAAATAAAGAAGAACACTCTTTCTTATCTCTAGAAGTATTTCACCATGAAGATTAGTTAGGATTTCTAAATCAGCATGATTTATTGTCCATAACTGGAAAGGCAAAGTTAGATCTGAATATAGAGACTTGAAGACATAATAAGCACTAAAATTGAGTTAATGATAGCCAACTTGCATAACCATAAAAAATAATACAGTTTTTGTAAAAGCTTTCATAAAAGGAGAAAATTATTATTATATATTTCTTTTTCTATAACATACAAAAAGAATGGATGGGCTCTTGTATCTTATTTTTTTCTGGTTTGATCTGTGTTTATGTGTCACTTGGCGTTGTTGCGATGAAACTTATTTTTAGGTTTAGCTTCTTGTTTATATGTTGATTTATTGAATTTTATATCTTTTTTTCTTTTTTTCCAATTCTCTTCAAAAGAAAAGTAAATAAACAACTTTAATGATAAGTTAATTTTGGCCTTGGTATTCATTTGGATTATTCCTGATGTCACTCCAATACAGTAGAGGTGAAATTAATTTTGTTCACTGCTCTGCAGAATTTGATTTAGAAACATCTCTTTTTAGAGGTGACGTCTTTGTCAGTATAATTCCCTGAATATGCAATTGACAGTTTTCATAGGGGACCTGTTCTTTGATTAAAAAAAATAGTTCTAGTGAAAATTCTTTATGCTAAAGTCTGTGGGCTCATCCAGAGTAATGGAGACGGGTTCTGAAAGAGGTTTTTCTGTTGAGAATCATCACAGTAAGAGATTTTTTTTGGCCACTTCAGTTGTAAACACAACACTGACATATCAAGCTTAATTTCACATTGAGCAGTTTAGAGCTGAAGCGATTAGTCAATTAATTGATTAGTCAACTGACAGAAAATTATTCAGTGACTATATTGATAATGATTAATCAGTTAAGTCCTTTTTCTAAATCAAAAATGTAAAAAATTCTTTAAATAAATTTAAGCTTCTCAAATAAGGATTTGCTGCTTCTCTTTGTGACGTGTAACATGACTAAATATTTTTGGGTCACATTTAAAAGACAAAACGCAGCAGATTAGCTTTGATCACCAAAAACGTTAATTTACTTCTGTTGTATTAGGGTGGAGGTAAAAATATTTTCATGGCTCGATACTATTAGAGATGTGTGAGTAAACATAGTTTTTATACTTATTTGTTTTGTACTTCTTTCTCATTTGGTAGTGATGGCAACTCCCCTCTTCACCCAGGCGTTGCTGTTGAGCAGAGAGAGCATGAAGCGAGCCACATCTCCTCTTCCCACCGCGCTGCCTGCGGGGTTACCGCTGCCGTCAGGCACAAAGTATCCCTCGTGGGTCAGAAACTCTTGAGCTGTAAAGGTCACAAGGAAGGAAAGCGGAGTTCGAGGCATTACAGCAACAGCATTTTTTATTTGGTCCTTCAGGTAACAGAAGGCACTAAGAGTTTCCTTGAATACATACTGAAACCTCATGGAAAGGATCTGTATTTACGAAAAATGAGGCCCATTCAGTCTTATTAACATGACTTTAAGTAATGAGAACACGTGCTAATAAGCTTGAACCATGACAAAATGAATCCTGAGGCACTGCACTCTTTAAACACTTCACTCAATGAAGCTAGTCTGTTCTTGGTTGTGTCACCCCAGCTCCAAACCGACTTCCTCCTGCTTGTTAAATGAATGCACCTTTCTTGAGTCTATTTACAGGTTTGTTTCTGCCCGTGTTGCCCGCTGCCTGTCTGCTTTTACCTGAGGCCGGCAGGTTCTTGAGGCCAGGCGGGCGGACCACAGTCCAGCTGATGTCCCCGGTCTTCTGCAGAAACTGCTCCATCTCAAACATGTTGGTGAGGACGCTTCGGATCATCGGCAGCAGGAGGAAGCGGATGAGGTAAGACGACTGAGTTCCAGAGTTAGCTGACAATGTAAAAACAAAACACACAACTCAGTGAAACTCTTTTTTTTTATTATTCTCTTAAATCACTAAAAAAAATGTGCATTGAAGAAGAAACTTTTCATGCTGATAACAGTCCTTTTAATGTGAAGAGCACATGATGCTTGTCCTGTCCTCACAACTGTCTAAAACCCCAAAATATTAAATGTACTGTTGTATATGACAAAGAAAAATATCAAATTCTCTCATTTGAGAGGCTGGAACCAGACAAACATTACCATTCCTACAGCCATGCAGCTAGTGTGGCTGCAAAGCTACTAGAGATGAACGTGAAAGGTCATTCTGGGCCTTGGTAACAGTAGGTTGACTAAAGGTCCACTTACTAGCTCCTCTACTAATTTATTTTAATGTCTGACACCATATTAACGGTGATTTATATCTGAAAAGTCAACCAAAGGGAAATCCCTTACAGAAAATGAAGTGATATCAAAATTCAGCAATTAAAGCCTCAATGCAGAGCAACCAGAAGTACCAGTGCAAACCAATGTTCACAAGTGATTTGAATTAAAAACAAAAGCTTGACACGCGTCCTCTGGAGATTGTGGAAAGACATTTTGATTTTTAACTGTAAGAACAATGAATTGTGGATTTTTTTTTTCTAACAACAAAAAGGCCTTGAAGGCATCATCACGTGTACTGGACTTACGCTCGGTGTACCAGGAGGTCATGGTGATGACCCTGTTTACCCGGGCGCCTCGCATGGCGCTGATCATAGCGTTCATGGACATGGTGTAGCCCGTCACTGCTGAGAAGAGGGAGGCCGGGAAGCCGAGGCAGGACATGATCACATCCTGTCCTTTGAAATGAGTCTTCAGACTGTCAGCTGAGAAAATATCAGCTTCCACCACCTGTAAGTAGAAAAGGAAACATGAATAATTAATCCTGAGGAGAGTTTTACTTATATACATACATACATACATACATACATACATACATACATACATACATACATATATATATATATATATATATATATAGGGGCAGCGCATTGTCATGAAATGCTCTTAAATGGTGAGATTACTGGGCTGCATTTTAAAACTATGTGCACATGGATGCTTTTTAATTTAGAGATCTGTTTCCTTATTAATTGATTTTATTATTTTTATAACTGATAGATGGAAGGAGAGCCATTTACATGCTTTTAGGACACAATTAAAATTTCTAAGTGATGTAAACATGCAGTTGATGTTACTGATGAACTGTTACTCAAAGGCTTTCCACATTTAAAGTCGTGCTAAAGGACAAGGTTGTTCTTTTGCATGTTTTACTTCTTGTCAGTAAATCCTATGAAAAGACCAAAACCAACAATGTATTAGTTTGTCTTTAAATACTTTCTGACTTCTGGAGCCTGTCTGTGCCCCTCAGCCTCAAGCCCACTGGTTTCTATTTAAGACTAAATCCAGACTAAACAAGTCTTGTATCATGTCCTTGTTTCCAATTTTCCTTCAACATGTTGCAGGATTTCCACAAAGAAGATTTCTGTAACAATTACAAGCTGTTGCCGTTGTATCGGGAACTACTTTCCTCCAGTTCCACAAATTAATACAAATATATACCACTTCCCATTACACTTTCTTGATGGAAATTACAAAGATAAAGTACCATACAACACATAGGGATCTTATATCATATTTGTTTAGCACTTTAATACAAAACACATTTATTTTCTGACATTTCCAGCGAAAACTATATGCATGTGGTCTTCATCAAATGATATCCAACATATCTGACGTTTATGTCACTGCTTTACTTTTCACTTCGAGTGTGGGCACTGTAGTTTTTTGGCAAATGTTACTGAAACTGAAGTAAATAGTGCATTTGAGGGGGACTATTTTCAGCTGCAGATTAATACACATTTTGTACTCTTGTGAGTATTTACAGCAGCAGGACGGTGTATGCGAGGCTCATTCAAAATAAACTACAGTTCCCATGTTCATGGTAATTAAGGAACATGTCTCCCAGTGCAACGGTGTAGCTCACATTAGTGTTTTTAACAGTTGTTGGACAATGGAGCTGTATGGCACAGAGGAATAAGATCTATCAGGGGATACCTGTTAACATAATTAATAATTTTTTTGTTTTTTTTTCATGGGTTTTTTTTTGATTAAATAAAACCAGGCTTATCTATGCAGTGCTGCAGTTAAGTCCACATTGTTATCTGCACTGTTGTGTGCACAGAATCACACCTACTGTGGAAACTGTTCAGAAACATAGAATACTTCAGGTTGTTCCTCATATACCCTCATTTGGAAACAAGACAACATTTATCATGTGACTTCACACTGACTGAACTTTGCACCCAGCGTGCAGTGAGCAGCAGTAAAATCATGCAGAACAACACAACACACAGTGTCAGTGTTACATTACCTTGAGATTGTCATGATGCACGGCGAGCTTTCCCGGGTTCCTGACGATGGCTGTGACTGTGTGACCCTGCTGCAGCGCCTGGTTGACCAGGTACTGACCAGTCTGCCCAGTGGCTCCCAGCACAGCGATCTTCATCCTCACACTCTGACACACAGGGCTCAGTCACGGCTGAAGCTGATCAGCGGACGTGTTGAATGCTCTGACCTCTCAAGCTTAACTGCAGGGAAGTTCCCTCCCTGTTTCACAAGTACAAGTGGAAAAAAAATGATTATCACGGTGCAATAAAGAGTCTCTCTAAGAGATTTAGGTTAGTCATCTGACAAATTTTGAGTTTAAAATGCAAATAAATATTACACTGGATTCTTTTAGTCACTGATCAAACAGAAATACTTATATAAAAGAGGTCATGTCTATTAAATGCCGGAAAATAGAGAAAACCCTTTTTTGGTCCAACAGGCCAAGAAAAATAAGTCATAAAAAATATACAAAAAACCTGTTTGAAAAATGTTTCACAGTTTTACCTAAAAAAAAAAAATGATTAACTATAAAAATTGTTGTAGACTAATTTTGTGCTATCTATGGGCTATTAAATTACATGATTTCACTGTTTCATAATTGCAACCTGCCATCAACCCCTTGTTTACACCTGCATTCTTTGTAAACATATATGTAGCATGAAAACAAGCCAATACTTCCCATCATGATTTCCAGATAAGGACAAATCTTCTCTTTTCAATAACATATGTGAATGTACTCCAAATATGTCAAAGATTACACATGCTGCCTTTAATCACTGGGATTGATTGGCGCATGGGATGCGCAGTTTATCTGTAACTGGTCAAACATTTTGTTAAAATCATCAGCCCCATTTTTTAAATGCTGGTGTGTGGAGAAAGCTGTCAAGACTCTCCAGACTCAGCAGTAGGGGATATAACTTTGATTGAACCAGGCGAGCACAACAAACTGTGTGTCTTTGTTGGATCCAGACTGGGCCGAATGGATTATCTCTGCAGCAGCAGAAAATGACGAGCTTGTTGGTCAGATGCTCGCTGAGGATACTAAGCGTCTAGTGACTCAAACTCAAATGATGTTGGTTAGAAATCATTCTGAGGATGTATTTATGTAGCTGAGAGAGTGGCAGCTATGTTCAACCTCCCTGGTATTGTATGTGAATGCCATATGTGTGCACCAGTTCAAAGAATGACATTTACAGCATTGGCTTGGATTTAAGACAAACCCCCGTTTTTAAAACAAAAGCATCTTTTTAATGTTTAATGTATTTTGAAATTTAAAAATAATATTAAATAAACCTGTAAAAATGCTAGTACTGCATTCATATGTTAAATTGTTGTTTACATTTAAAAGAGGTTACAACAAATCAGACAATTTTTTTTTTTTTAAATCATCACCTTTTCTACAGTAGCTGTTTTCAACTAATTTCAACAACAAAAAACTCACAAAAAAATGAATAAACTTAAAATTTTGCATCTCCTGGTTCCCACAGTTCTTGTCCATGAGTGTGCCAAATTTCAGGCTGTTGAAGTACTAATGTTTTACAGTGCAATTTATATGCTGTGTACCCAGGTGTCCTTTTGTGTGCCAAATATTTCCCCCCACGGTGAAATGTCCTTCACTGCAGGGATGTGTTAGCCAGGTGTCTGTCAGAAATAGTGTTTAGAGTTCCTCCCAAAGTGCTTCATTTATGTCCCATCAGACCTTGTTTCATTGGCAAACTCCAAGCACGCTGTTCTATGCCTTTTACTCAAAGTGGTTTCTGTCTAGCCACTCTACAATAGAGGTCTGATTGATGGACTGCTGCTGAGATCATCATCCTTCTGGCAGGTTCTCCCATTGCTTCTGTTACTCAGTTTGGCCAGACGGACAACTCTAGAAGAGTCCTGGTTCAACACTTCTTCTGATTCAGTTATTGAGGCCACTGTGCTCCTGAGAAAACTCAAAGCTTTAGAAATGGGTTTATATCCTTGCTCTGATCTGTGTCTGACCACAATTTTATCACAGAGGACAACGGAGAATTCCTTGGATTTCATGGCTCGGTTTGTGTCTTAACGTGTAGTGAGAATTGTGGAACCTTATATTCACAGGTTTGTGCTTTTCTAAACTATATCTGTGCAATTCAGTTTGCCACAGGTGGACCCCAGTTGAGTTCTAGACACATCTCAGGGATAATTAAAGCAAACAGGAAGTGCCTGAGCACTGTTTAGAGTGCCACAGCAAAGGGTCTGAAAACGTGACAGACATGTTTTCACTTTGTCATTGTGGGTTGCTGAGTGTAGATTGAGGGCAAAAATATCAATTTCATCAATTTAAAATTAAATCTACAACACAATTAGGTGTGCAAAAAATGAAGGGGTCTTTTTTTTTTTTAAAGCATTGTATGTCTCCAAACCTTTCAAAACAATATGAGGCAGTATTGTCCATTTGTAACTATTTACAATCATTTAAATCATCTATTTGGCATGGCTGAAATACAGTTTACAGTCCTCCTGTCATCTGCAGATCATGCCACTCCGTGAAGCAGAGACGATATGGGTTTATACACAGAGGGACGTTACAAGACCTGCACAGTTTTTCTTCTCCAGGGCACAGCAGAGAACACAGCGCATCCATTTTTTTTTTACTCAAAAACATATATTTTTTTATAATAAACATATATTTTTTTTTATCTAAATGAGGTTTATTGACCATAAAATTCCAAAAGAAAGTGTAAAGTCATAGTAATGAGTTGGAATGAAGTTATCTGAAAAGGTGTAATGCAATTATTGAGTTATTACTTTATACTTCATGTTTTATAAACAGTCAAACAGATTGGGTCCATTTTGACATGGAAGGACAAAAGTAAAGGACATCCTCAGGACATTAAACCTATCACGACTTTTCATTTAACGAAGGGTCGAAGGTCACTTTGTTCTCTGGTGCTTTTGCTCTTGTCCTAGCATTTAAAACACACCAGTTCCTAGAAAAAGTGAGAAAAACATGTTCTGTGACCTTTACTAAGATCAAGAATGATTCTCATTTAGTGTTTGAATGTTGTTTAGTGTTTAATGACTGCCCTAGGTATGGCCTTTCCTGGGAAGTGATTCAAGTTGATCTAGAAGTTGTATCAGGCAAAGATAGAAGCAGCCAAATTTCATAGAATAAAAGGAAACCTGTGATAAAAACAAAACATGAGGAATATATTTTGGCTACAAAACCATCTGGTCTAATACAACACTCCTGCTACAAACCTCCGTCATTAAACTTATAATGTTCAGTTTTTATTCAAATTGTTTTAGAAAGGTGTTGGTTCAACTGTATGATCATTTTGTGGTGCAGAGGTGTTTCTGTAGGATCATTGATATTAATGGGGTGGACAAAATAATAGCAACACCTACAAATCAACAGCACCACAAACTGCAGCCTACAAAACGAACATTTAGATGAATCTACACCTCTCTGAAACCGTTTCAACACAAACTGCATTAGTTTTCGTGTATGTGACCTCTAAATCTAACCAAGCTGAATCCGCGTTTGTATTTTCCATTGACTCCAACACGCCCCTGTGTTATCCAACCGGCGGAAGAACGTGCATATATAGCCTGGCCTACAACATTTTACCACATTGCTCCAAAACATTACATTTTGCGTTAAGTACTACCCAGATAACAGAGAGGACAGCTGGTTTTCGCCGTTAAACGTTGCTGTAGTATAACAAACCCCGATTAGACAACTCACCTCGCGTCAGATACACGTCCAGTCAGTGGGGAGGCGTTCAAGAGCAACAGCGTTCAGATGTGTTTTTAAAGCAACGATTTTCAAAAGTTTCACTTTTTTTGTTTAAATTTGTGTTTTGATGACATCCCCAAAGTGTATATTTTAATGTGAAATTAGAATTTAACATGTTAACCAAAACATTAGCCACATGTAGGCTAACTGATGAGTCAGTTGTCAGAAAATGAAATAATCATTTCAGGCGCTCATCAGTTAAAATACTCAGATCTGCTGGTTATAGCTATTTACTTCCTTTACATTTTTAATATCAAGTGTTTCATATAAAAATAGGTTTCCTGGCTATTTTATCTTATAGACAACACATAAAGTATTCAACTTTTAAATCCCATTCATAGTTTTTACACAGTGACAGTTAAAGTTTCGTGAACGTTTCTGGACTTTACCAGAATTTTAAATTGTGGCGCAATGTTGGCAGCTAGAGTGAATGACATCACACATATGTCTCAGTTTGAGTTTTGCAAAACATACAATAGGGTTGTTTTTTTTTTAACAAATCTTGTCAGGTACTGACTTGTAGGATAAAATCTGTAATAATTTAAAGGAAACCTCTTTTATTTTGTTATTAATCAAGAATCTGTGCAGCATCCAAACCTTTTCCGACAAATATTAGTAAGAAATTAGAATAAGTTGAACTGAATTTTTGTTGTCGTTGAACCCTTGAAAAGAGATATTTTTGCATAATGATATGAGTGGTGAGGAAACATAAAAACAGTCTTTTGGGGGTAATTAATTAATTACGATATGTGTCTTATTGTGAAAGTCTTGATCGGAAGTCGCTATGACGTTTTTTTCGGATTGTTTGTTTGTTGCTATTCTTCACCCACAGTGCTGCCTTTTGTTCACAAAGTCTGTCACAAGCAGTCACACTTTTTGCTTAGTTCATATGTAACATTCGTTTGTTATTTATTTATGAGGTGTTATATTAAGCGTTTTGATTTGAAAGTTCAGTCGCTGCTAACTAGTTAGCCCCCGCTTGCCCCGCATTAGATTGTTTCTCTACCGCGGGCGGACTGTACCTCCACCATCTTGGACTGCAGCTGGTGATACAGCTTCTTGTTCTGCTCAAGCAAAGAGCTGGTACATGTGCCTCGGCCTCCTACCCGTAAACAGCTGTCCAGGCGAGTAGCCTTTTCTATCTCTCCAGTGGAGTGTTTCGGCTTCCGCCTTAAACAGTTCATCCCAGGTACATGCGTGTGTCTCATATGTTGTGTATTATCATTTCATGCAAACATAAAATTCATTGTTGATCCAAAACCCTTTTCCTCAAGCTAGTGCCAAATACTTCCAAGCTCCTGGCAACAGTGAGTTGTTTACCCTCCCAGATACTGGGAGAGGCTTAGGCGACA